CAGGGTGACCTGGTAAGACGCCACCTGATCTTTGAGTCTGTGCACGGGGGCTTTCCAGGAATAGTGCTCTAAGTAGCAGTACAGCAGGGATTAGCAGAAGCGTAGTCAAGGAAAGCCAAAGTCAGGGGAAGCCAGATATCAGAGTAGTCCAGGAGGAAAGCCAAGGTCAGAAGCCGGAATCAGACAGGAAATACTGGAACGCAGATATAGCAAGACAGGAACCAAACAAGGGAACCAGAGTCAATGAACTGACACTGCCCTCAGGGAGAGGCAGTGTCTTATACCTGGCTAATTGGTGATCAGCCACAGGTGTGCTGAGATCGTTGGAGCAGCCACAGAATAACGTCCAGCCCCCAGTGCTGGGTACAAGGCAAGACAGACTTCTGGCTATCTCTCAAGCTGATATGGTGGCTCAGAGACAAAATAGCAGCCCCAGGACTGCAAAGTACCCTGGTTCAAGTCTGTCACCGGGCACTTCTGGGGCAACCTCGTCTGGCTGTCGGGATGTCGCGGTGAGAACCGTGACAGGAGCCAAGCAGCAGAGAGGACAACGAAAGGATAGTGGAAGCAATGATACATTCCGGGGGAATGATATGGGACTTTTCTTGCTCTTGTATAGACTTAGTATCAAACTGTCTGGATAAGGCGCCAGTCTTGACATTTTTAGAACCAGGTCTATAAGTAATAAGAAAATTAAAGCGAGAAAGGAACAGAGACCACCATTGTCTAGAAGACAATCGTTTAGCATCTCCTATATAAGCCAGGTTTTTGTGATCAGTAATGATCAAAAGGGGGTCCTTGGAACCCTCTAAAAGATGTCGCCACTCCTTGAGAGCTAGAATAATGGCCAACAATTCCCTATTGCCAATATCATAATTGCGCTCGGCAGGCGACAACTTTCTAGAGAAGTAACCACAAGGATGCAATGGAGTATCCTGGCTCTCCCTCTGGGAGAGAACTGCCCCTACCCCTGTCTCTGATGCATCAACTTCTAGTATGAAAGGTTTACTGGTGTCAGGAAGTATCAATATGTCGGCAGAGGCAAACCGCTGTTTGAGAGTTTCAAAGGCTTCTATAGCCTCCTTAGACCATATCGTACTGCTAACCCCCTTGCGTGTCATATTGGTGATGAGGGCTATTACTGAAGAAAATCCCTTTATAAACCTTCTGTAATAATTGGCAAAACCAATGATCCTTTGAATGGCTTTCAACCCAGTGGGTAAAGGCCATTGTAGAACCGATTCCAGCTTTTTAGGATCCATCTGAAACCCCGAGGCAGAGATATTATATCCCAAAAACTGTACTTCAGATTGGTCAAAGATGCATTTTTCTAATTTACAATAAAGTTGATTCTTTAACAAGGTCTGCAGAACTTGTCTAACGTGATCATGGTGAGTTTGAATGTCAGGAGAATAAATAAGGATATCATCCAGATAGACCAAGACAAACGAGTAAATGTAATCCGAGTACATCATTTATGAAATCTTGGAAAACCGCTGGAGCATTGCACAACCCGAATGGCATCACTAGATATTCATGGTGTCCACTTCTGGTATTAAATGCAGTCTTCCACTCGTGGTTTTCCTTGATTCTCACTACATTGTAAGCACTTCTAAGATCAAGCTTAGTAAATACTTTAGCACCTTGGAGTCTATCAAATAATTCAGCAATAAGAGGAATGGGGTAGGCGTTCTTAATGGTGATTTTGTTCAATGCCTTGTAATCGATACATGGGGGCAACTCACCGTCCTTTTTAGATACAAAAAAGAATCCTGCCCCAGCAGGCGAGGATGATTTTCGTATGTGACCTTTATTCAATGAATCCTTAATATATTCCTCCATTACTCTACTCTCCTGAGGTGACAGAGCATAGACTGCTCCTTTAGTTGGCATAGCGCCAGGTAGTAAATTAATAGAACAGTCAAAGTCTGTGAGGAGGTAGAGTATTTGACAGAGTTTTGCTGAATACTTCTTTAATGTCTTGGTACTGTATAGGGATTTCCGGGTTTTGAGGTGTACTAGTGGGTTATCCAATAGTGCCCACTCTTTTGACAAGATTCAATATACACCTTTCATAACAATCCTTACCCCATTCTAATATTTCCCCATTAGCCCAGTCAATATGAGGGCTATGGTTGTTAAGCCATGGAAAGCCTAATATGATCGGACAGGAAGGGGATGCAATAACCTGAAATGTAATCTCTTCCTTATGTGAGGCACCAATGGACACATTAATGGGTAAGGTTTCGTGTGTAATTAATGGTTGTGAGAGTGGTCTCCCATCAATAGCTTCAACAGCTAGGGGTGATAGTCTCTCCTTGATAAGTATAGTATTACCTTTAACAAATTGAACGTCAGTGAAGTTTCCAGTGGCACCTGAATCCATCAGGGCTTTGCATGAAAAGTTCTTCTTTTCAAAGGCAATAGTAATATCAAGGAGAAACCTATTTTTATCCATTCCAGAGGACGTTTCCATTACACCTAAGACCCTTAAGGTGCGGTAGTTTTCTGGACGTATGGGACAATTGTTTCTCATATGTCCTTTTCTACCGCAGTATAGACATAGGCCTTCTTTTCTCCTATATTGTCTTTCTGCTTCCAACAGTCTAGTGACCCCCAACTCCATGGGTTCATGTTCGGACTGTACAGGAAATTTAGGGACAATAGGTTTGGAGAAGTGGGGTGCTAAAGGCATATTCATGGGTCTGGTCTTGTTTCTAGTAGCTTCTCTAGTTCTCAATCTATTATCAATTTGCATGACAAAAGTGATAAATTCATTAAGTTTTTTGGGTAAGTCTTTGGCGGCAATCTCATCTAGCATAGTTTCAGATAGTCCCTTTTTAAATGCAGAGATTAACCCACTATTAGTCCAGTCTACCTCGGAAGCTAGGGTACGAAATTCTATGGCATACTCAGAGATAGACTGGTTCCCTTGTCTGATATGCATCAGGGCAGTAGAGGCGTCTTCCTCCCTGCCTATGGTTCAAACGTAAGTTTAAATTCTGTAATAAACTCCTGGTAATTGTGTGCCAGACTCCTATTACTCTCCCATAATGGATTGGCCCAAGCTAAAGCTTTACCTTTTAATTGATTCATCAGGTAACCAATTTTAGCTCTGTGTGGGAAAAGATCCCGGTGAGGCCTCAAAATGATACTCTATTTGGTTAAGGAATCCCCGGCATTCTTGGAAATTACCATCAAAATGCAGAGGAGGAGATAGAGAGATAGTTGGTACCTTGTATACTATAGGCAGAGGTACACAAGGCAGAGGTGACACAGTAGGAGCAGCCACAGGTTGCAGATGTGCTGTACGAGTAAGAAGCGTACTGAAAGCCTGGGCAAATTGATCCAAGCGGTGATCATTATCCTCCAGTTTCCTTTCGCAAGCAGCTATGTGCTTACACAATTCTACAGGATCTATGGCCATGTCGTAATGTCAGGATTACAGAATGATCCAGCACGTAGAACTGTGTAACACAGAGGACTGATAGGTAACGTATACCGGACCTTAGAATGGCCGGACTAACGTACCAAAGAATAGTCAGGAATAGCCGAGGTCAAGGGAAACAGAAAGAGACACAACGATAAGGAAAAGCCAGGAGTCAGGGATGCCAGAAAACAGGGAAGTCAAAAACAATGCCAAAGTCAAATAACCAGAATCAATAACACGCTCTCGGACAACCACAAGGGAAACCACGACAGGGCACTGAGCAGGATGAGAACTGGGCCTAAATACCCCTCCTCTAGGTCTGATAGGCTGTAACCGGCCTTTGACCCCAAAGGCAGTTACCAGATCTCATTTGCATAATTGCTGCTCAGCATTAACCCTTCTGTGGATTTGGTTGTTGCTCGGCACAACTTTTCCTGTGTGGACAGTAAATGTCATTAACCACATTTTTGTAAGCGGATGAATACGTGACAGCAGCACAGGTTCAATATATCTGTAAAAATACAAACAAAAACATAGTGCTTTCTGTATGTAATAAAAATACTGATAAAAGCATACATACACACACAAACAGGCAGCTAATAACTAGTGATGTCGCGAACCGTTCGCGAACTTAGGATGCTGTCCAGGAGGTGGGAGGGTCTGGGAGGGAGGGTCTGCTGGAGATTGGCCGGGATGTGTCAGCTGACCGGAGTTCGCCACGAGCCGTTCGCGGGAAGTTTGTGACATCACTACTAATAACATACATAGAGACTGCTGAATACATACTCACAGACTGTTGTACACACACACACACAGAGGCTGCTACATACACACACACAGGGTGCTGAAAACACACACAGGTATCTGCTGTCAGAACTCCTGCTGCCATGCTTCCATGATGCTTCCATCTCCTTGTCCTGTAGCTGCTGCTGCTCCAACTCCTCCCATCCGGATTCCATTCACTCTGTGGAGAGGGCATGCTGTGCCTTCTCCACAAAGCTCAGGCACCAACGAGTCTTCTTTGCACATCCTGCAAACATCCTGGTGGCCGGTGCCAATATTGCAGAACTTTATTCTCACAGAAAAAAAAACAGCAATTGTATTGTCGATATTTTTGCAATACCGGCACCGGCCACACAACGTCAAATACCGGCCAGGTGGCAACCCTACTCCAAACACATGCACAATACGCTTTGCTGGCCTCTTGTATCCCACTTATGGAGACACCAGAGACAAGTCACAAGTAGACACTTGTGTCATTAAATTTTCTTGTGCTGCGCAGAACAAATTCAGGGCCTTTTTCTCATGTGAAAGCTCTTCAGCAGGGCTCTCCACATGGTCTGTCCATTAAACCAACATGCTCACTTTGAGAGGTGGTGTGCTAGTCATGGGTGAAGACTAAACACTCCCTCTCAGGTCCAGCCCCCTTTTCATTGGGCCGCTGTGATAAAAATAAATGCCAGTCAGATAAATTAATATAACTCTTACATACATCTCAAGACAAGCATTTTCTGCAGAATTTACCTAGCACTTAAAAAATATAAAACAATATAAAAATAAAACAAAACACTTATAAATGCAAGATGTAGATTTTTTTATTTCATAGAACTATCAATGGGTGGTATTAGAACAAAGAATTTCAAGTATACTTGCTAGATGACTAAGCAGGTTGCAAAGCATTACATTTACCTGTATTGTTATCACTGTGTACAAAGTTGCTAATACAAGTAGTTGACTGTAGTGCAGGCGCAAGTGAATGTTGTCCTCCAGAAAAAAAGCAAAGGCAGCATGGGTTGTCAGTCAGTGGAAGTTGATTGTTTGGTGCGAATAAGGGAGGAATGCATTCAGTGCATGCATGAAAATTACACTATGTACTTTTTTCTTCATCCTAAAATTGGTTTATTTGGCGCACTGGAAAGATAAAGCATCACGCTAAATTAACCGCCATTATTTTTTGTTCAGGAGAGTACATCAGATGGACTGTGCAATGGATAATCAGGCTATTTCATTTAAGCTCAGAAGGCATCTGTCAGGGGAGGTGGGAATATAAACCGTGTACACAGTGCACACCCCAAGTTGGGTGGGTTATCTAGATGGGCAGAGGAAGAACTATATTGCTTCATCGTCTGGTGTAAGTCAACAAAGGTGCAAACTTATAGTTGCAGCAATAAATTGAAATAATAACACTTTTTTAATACTAACCACTCACTAAATATTAATTGTGGTGCATCTTTCTTTAGAAATAGATTTTTTTAAACTACTAAAAATGTGGTATTAGTGAACCAGCCACCTAAATATGCCATGAGCAACAGCTACATGTGCCATTAATATGCTTTAACTCCTCACAAAAACATACCAATGGCAATGATTATATTTTGCCACAGTTCCTGTCTCTTCTTTAAGTGGATTGTAAAGTTCATTAAATATTTTTAGGGACATCCTTTTTTGAATGAATACAGTAACAACATAATCCTCAAAGCCCATCCATCATGGCTAACAGATCTTCTCCTTTGCTAGTACTTTGTATACATGATTCTGCTGACTGAAATTCTCCCATGATTCTAGAAAGTTCCTTATTCCTGTCCTGGTCCTGAAAGAGAAGAAACATCATTACTACTTAATAACTCTATACACTCTCATTTTGGAATATAAATTTAAAAAAATGGAAAGAAGTTGTAAAAGGGTGATGTCTTAAATCCTGGTAAAATTCTGCTCCACCAAGTCTGTAGGTTATTGTTTTCCAATGATACATTAAAAATAAAGCAGTAGGACATGGAATTAAACAATACAATAGTAAATGGAAAAGTACACAGCTAGACACACACATTTGAAATAGGCAGCTATACAAACATACAATAAGCATAATATACTACTTTATTAAATAATAAAAAAAGGAATATCGTGGCAAGGTTGGGGTATCATATACTGAATACAAGAAAAAAACAACAAAAAAAAACACACAATTAGCTGATGACATGAATTTATATCAAATTCATAGACCTAAGTATACCTTGTCCAAAGCTCAGAAGATGTTATCAAATATCTTGCAGATAACAGCACAAGACTTAGAGATGCCATGACATACAAAGTGATTTTGAGTACAATATGCCAAAACAAGCACTCATCAGGATAGGGAAAAAAGGTTTTATTCTCGGTACTAACAATAAACAACACAGGGAGGAACAGGAAGAGTTTCGGACGCAACAGTCTTTCCTCATAGGGATAAATAAACCCTCTAAACAACAGGTTAAACACCCTGCTATGCATATTAATAATGTCAAGCTTTATTCACAAGAGAACTATTATTAAAAGTTCAAGTACATAGATCATACAAATGCCAATATTGCCCTCTAGTGAGGAATGAACAAACTGTCACCAAAACATAGGAAAATAGGGATAAAATAAACAAACAAATAAAATGACAAGGAATGCATAAAAACCTATGTATGGACAATGGCAAAATGGGCATAATATGTATGAAAAAATGTCTACATTATGACTAAACTCTTGGCTATATTGAGAACAAGAGGTTAAATTCTTATCTTAATTTGTGACAAATTTGGCTTGAGATCCCTTAAGTAAGGATTCTTGGTACAGCTTTTAGCAACTTTATAACCTCAATTCTAACCATCATTTTGATCAGGTCTATATCCCCTAGTTTTTAAGCGATCGCTAAGTAATTTTGCATGAAATTCAAATGTATCTTCATTAGAACAATTCCGCATGATATGGATAAATTCACCCGGAAACATGTGACTAGGATGACAGCTAGATGCCAAGAGTCAGAAATTCTCCAGCTGTTGGTTTCCTATAGTACTCAGTTATAAGAAGATGAAATGCTCAAGCTTAAATCCAATAGAACAAAATAAGACGATTACCATCTCCAAAGAGCAGCTTCCACCAACCCATAAAAAGGTTGGCATATCAGGGCGCAAAACGCACCCCCGTCACCACTCCAAGCCTTTGCAGGTAAAAAAAAAAAATCACTACTAAAAATAAAATAATTATGTGTTAGAAGAAAATTCAAACTAGAAAACAAAACTGTTGGATATCCCAAGATAACGCTGAGTAAAAACGCAGAAAATAACAGTTTGTAAGCCTAGTTTGTAAGGGAATAAAGGAATACAATACAATGTGATCTTATTCATTTAAATTATGTACTATAATGTTTATTCCACTAATCTTCTCTCCCTCCATTGCCTTTTATTCCCATCTTTATAAACTGTAGTGGCAATATACATTGAGAACTGGAATATGTTTAATAGCTTATGTATGGTATATTTCTGAACTCCTTTACCTTGGACGAGAAAAAGAAGAAAACATCAAGAATAAGAAAATACATGTAGTTTTTGTCCCACAGTTGACATGGAATAACCTAACCACAACGTCGCATCTAATATATTAAGATGAGGTTACATCAAATTATATATATATATATATATATATATATATATATATAAAAAACTGTATATCATTTTCTTGCAGATATTTTATGAGATACCTATATCTCTACACAACTGTATGTGAATTCTTTCAATGTTCCACTTACTTCGCTGGCCTTTATGCTGATTACTTGGTAGGACAGCTCTTCTGGCCTTGTAAGCGCTGCATGCCTAAAAAAAAATAAATAAATAAATATTTAAAAAAAAAAAAATTGTTAGCATTATATTTAGATTTAGACTATGTAAAGCAGCAGTGCTTGATCAAATGTATTTCAGTCCTCACATACTATATGCAATTAATAGAATTTTATTTTATTTTGTTACATTTATGTTTGGTTTTAATTTTTGCTGCAATGAGCAGGCTTCTCAAAAAAATAATATATTTTATCATAATGCTAATCATAATGAGGTCAAAGCAAAACCAAACCCAACCCCAGCACTCCACTTTAATTACCACTTTCTACTTCAACAAAACTGACATTGATAATGTGTAAGTATACATTCCACATGATCAATGCGGCTTAGTAGAGGATGGCATCCATGTACCATGGGGAGCTTTGGTTTTTATGTTGCTTAGAGTGTCCCTTTAATTGCTAAATCTTGCAAAGCATTCTGCTGAGGAGTGCTACTTAAAGCATGTTAAACGAACATTCCAAAAACCAAACATACTGAAGTTGTTTTTAAACCCGATCCATGGGTGTTGCTCCCCACTTTCACTATGGGGCTAACTCACTGCTGGAGAGTGCCAGCTAATCATTCTCAGCCATTGAGCTAAACCCTGCACCATCAAAATTAGCTTACACATACAGCTTCCGGCTCTCATGCTGAATAGTGGGCAGCAGCATCCAAAGGACCCCAGGAAAGAGGTCAAGCAGTTCTAAAATGGTTTGACTCCATACAATGGGAGGGGCAACAGGGCTTTCCTGGTACCATAGCCACAACAATGCACTGCAGTTGTTAGGATTTTTGAAGTCGTCTTTTTTTGTAATTTTATTTTTTTATTGCACAGAGGACAAATTATACAGTGTCACTCAGACCAAACATATGTGAAATCATATATAGCAGTAACATAAGTTACATACCATTTTTTTTATTTTTTTATATGGAGTAGATTCACAGAAAATTATACAGTACAATCTTCTAGAACAACAGAAATATTGTTAAACGTTGCATTTTGTGAGTGAAACTAAATAACGGCAGCATGGGTATTTAGAATCTAAAATCTAAAATATCAATATCTAAACAAGATTAGCTAATAGCCGAGCTTGGAATAACATAAATTTTGCTGTGCATACAACTGTGCTGTTGTGAAAGTCGCTTGTTATATATAAGACCATATAAGCTATGGTAAACCACCAAGACATTGGCAAATTGGTCATAGTTAGAAAGAGTTGCACTATATGCTGCTGTTCTTGGGCTTAAAAATCCGTAAAGTAAAAATAAGGAAAACCTAAAACATATAGAACAATAATAATATGGGTTTTACTAATCAGAAACGGCTTTAAGTCATCTGACCCCAAAACTCGTAAAGCTAGAGCAATTAAAAGTTTGGGTAACATATAGCGCCCAGTCTGCTTTAGATACACACAATTTAACCTTTCGTTTCTTGTTACCACAAGGCCATATGCGCTTTAGAGACATGTACAGATATTAAGGCAAACACTTGAGGCATTTTTATGGCAGTAACGAGCTATTTTATTATTAAAAACAATGATACATTAACAAATGCATGTATATTGTTACCCGGAATGTTTTGCTCTGATGATTATGTTATACGCAATGTCTATCACCTGCGAAAAAAAAAGAATAAAAAAAAAAAAAGGATGGGTAAATCTATCATGGCAAAGCCCCAGAGAGCCACTTCTCCAGGCTCAGGCTTTAGTATGAACCGGCCCCCAATATTCACTGAACTTTCCGCTGCCAATGGTCAAATCGCATTCCTGAGAGAGTCTTGAATTCTCCGAAGATTGTGACACCCATCTTGGTTCTCAACCCAGAGGGAGACTAAAGGTTCACAGCTGCCAACACGAGCGCAGTTGAGGAAAGCTGTGTGGCCTGCAGATGTATGTTTTTGCCAGAATCTTACATTTAGCATCGACTGCTAAACTGAATGTAGCTTTCCACCTTTGTAATGTGGTGCAGTGTGACTGTAGAGGATGCCATCATGGATGCATCATGTCCCAGCAAAAAAGTACACCAGCACAAAACAGCACTTCTTCTGGTGGAGACTGGAATATATCCCACTAGTACAAACGGGTTAGGGTGGGGGACGACGACTGTGCACTGAGAGGATGACACAAGGCTCAGACATAGTCAAAGCAGGAGATCGGCCATTTCTCATGTAACCAGGACTCACAAGCTTAACTAGGCCTCTTTCACTGGAGCTGCAATTCCTGCTCCCATAACCGATATCCTGGACAACTGTGCTCACCAGGAGGCACAGGGGCCATTTTCAATATGTCCTCACAAGCAGAGAGCACTGTCCTAGCTAAGTGGAAGCAATAAACTGCTAAAATAGGCAATGGAGCTTTGGAGATACAGTGAGGTGATTCTATCTAGCTTTGCAGTCAGGCCCCACCCCAAGGAGTAACATGGGGACGCAGCAAATATGATTTATACTTACCTTATGCTGCACACTGAGGGCCACACCATCTTTGATCATTAGCTCCTGGTGTGTCATCTGACAGGAGCGCACGTCAGTGCTGTACTGTCACAATGTCACAGAGTTCAACGCTGAGGTCAATGGAGGATCCTGCAAGACAGATGGAGCCTCCCGAGATATTCTATTGCGAAATGACCAAACTTTTGTAAAGTTTGAGATTTACCACAAGAGAAACTAGTCTCTGCTCTGTATTATTTTTATATCATTTGACTGCCTAGGAATTTCAATGAAATTCCAACACAGTCTTAATGAGTACAGACCTTTTTTTCTTTATGATATGCTCACAATTTTTAACATTTTATATACCAATAACCACTATCTCATCCACACGTGACATGATCTCCATTTATCTACACCAAGACATAAACTTTATAAAATAAAAGCATATTCATTTTAAATCATAGAAAACTGTCCCAGTTGGACATACTTTTTCCTGTACTAGTTCAAGGTGCCATGATATAAACCTCACTCTACAATTCTGAACCTTTCTGGAGATTATATTCCACTGGACATCACCATCAAGAACAGTAGTACTAAAATACTATTTTAGGTAAAATTATTAGAACTGTTAAATCACAGTGCTACATCTCATTTGTGCAGAGATTGACTTGTTAAAACTAAACAATACAAAAATAAGTTTAATGTGTTTCCTTCTCTTTTTCATATGCGTTAAAGGGACACTATAGTCACCTGAACAACTTCAGCTTAATGAGGTTGTTCAGGTGAGAACTATAGCTCCCTGCAGCCTTTCTCATATAAACACTGTTTTTTATGAGAAAATACAGTGTTTACATTGAAAGCTAGGAACACCTCCAGTTGCAGTCACTCAGAGTGAACCAGAGGGACTTCTGAGTTGATGGAGGCATAATATGCCTCCATCCACTCTGATCTGCTGTGCACGAGCATCCTGTGATTCAGTATCTCCTCCCACTGCATGCAGACACTGAACTTTCCTCATAGATATTCATTGATTCAATTCATCTCTATGAGGAGATGCTGATTGGCCAGGGCTGTGTTTGAATCATGCTGGCTCTGCCCCTGATCTGCCTCCTTGTCAGTCTCAGCCAATCCTATGGGGAATCACTGTGACTGGATCAGGATATCACATGTCAGCAGACTGCTTGTTTTTCCTGAGTCTAACAGCAGGCAGATTTACAGCTTCTGGCATGAATACAGTAAGATTTTTACTATATTTATGGAGGCATGAGAGGCCCAGGGGGGCTAGATGGTCGTGTTAACACTATAGGGTCAGGAATACATGTAGTTGCACTGGTGACTATAGTGTCCCTTACATAAAATGTAAGATTTAGGTATATATAACATTTTTATTTTCATCAGGTTAGACTCTTCACACAATGCCCACTCAAAAAGTTATAAGTGATCATCAATGTGGCTTTCTTACCATAGCATCACTTTTTAAATTTTATCATTAACCAGACCTTGAATGTATAATTATTCTCTAATTCAACAACTAAAGTTGGGTTTACTGTGTGACAAAACCTTACATCCCAATTCAAATATATCAGACATTATGCTTTTAGAATCTACAAATAAAAATATACATTTTATGTATATCAGAGTTTTACACTACAAGCGGAATAACATTGCTGTAGTGTACTCTCATTGCAATCAAACCAAAATATTACTAAACTCACTAAACATTTTTTGAGTTAATTCAGTCAAAAACAGTAAATGTAACCCCCTGTGGTTTGAGCATATACTACATATGTACCCTTTTGTATGCACTATGCTCATTGCAAATAATGGGTATATGACAGGTTTATAGAAATTGTTCTGAGCGATATATATGCCACAAGCCAAAGTAAACTTAAATGTTCAGAATTGTTGGGGCTTAACAGTCATATCTGGATTATGGATTTATATATAGTAATCACATACAGCTAATCAATGCAATGAAGGCAGTGGCAGCGCCTTCTAATAATTATAAAACTTTTCTGTCCAGTTCAGTGAACGCATTTCCTGTACAAATTGCTTTCAGCTCATATTAATTTAAACCACTTTGCCTTAGAGCTGTAATGCTTAGTTCTGCCTAAATGATGCAAAAGGACCCATTCCCAATAGCCCACACTCACTCTTCTTCTTCGTCATTAGTAAATAGGTTCAGTCGGAAGCTGTAGTCACTAGTAGGTGGTTTCTTCAGTTCCAAGCCTCCCATAAGTTTTGCTAAAAGATTTAGCTCTTCCTTGGCCATTGGATTTGGCACTATATTTTCCTATACAAACAATGTTAATAAGCAACGTAAATAAAGAGGTAGGGTTAAGTGGCAACAAAACAGTTCTATAGATTTGAGAGTCTAAAAATGTAACAAAAAAGTTGAAAAACACAATCATGGGACCTGTAAGTTAAAGGAACACTTCAGTTGAACTCCACTTACAGGTCTAGTGAGATTTCACAATATGACCTGTGAAACTTGAGGGTCTGCAGGAATGTTTTTTTTGTTTGTTTTTACACTTTACAATAAAAAAAATAAAAAAAAAATCTACAGAGACATACTGACCTTCAAAGTCTCTGAGTACGCTGCAAATTCTCTACATTTGCAACATCTGCAGTGAACTTTCACTAGTTCAGTAAGTGGCTGAAAACTCTCAGTAAATTCGGGACTGAGAGAAGCTCAATGCATGTTGCGGGATCGCTTCCCCATGTTCTCTCCAGTTGTGTGGGGCCTCGGTGGGGTGTAATTAGGCTCCGTAGAAGGTAAAAAATAGACAGTTACCTGTCGCTCTGTTGGAGCTCAGAGTGCTTGCAAGCACTTAGCTTGCTGACTAGCTCTGCCCACCCCTCTCCCATTATTTAAAATTTTATTACATAAAGGAAGCAAAAAAAAAATTAGAACACAAAAAAAAGTAAAAAAAAAGTAAAAAAAAAAAAAACAAACAAAAAAAACCTTTTGCCCACTTAACTACTTAAGTACAGGATTTTTATGAACCTCATTTTACATCAAATTGTTTATTTAAATACTGAATGCCAGAGGTTGGTACTAGCAAAAGATGTCAATATAACCAAATTTATCCATCGAACGAACTGAACAGCTAAATGTGCCTTTGTACATACCCAAATGGAAACCAAAATCGAAATAATATCTGAACCCTAATAAAATTTAACATTTGGTTGTTAATTTACTCCTATTAGAATAAAATCAGTTAAAGCGACACTGTAACTACTACATTTCATTGAAATGGTTATGGTGTCTGGGGTCCTCTAGTGCCATCATTCTATTCAACATTAAACGGTTTTTAATGTTTTCGTACTAGATAAGAATCTCCAACGGATTATCCCCACCATGTTGCTTGAACTAATAAGGAAGCTTTAGAATGAGTAGAAATGAGAGGCAGTGAGAGTGTCAGGTTACCGCTTTGCTGATATGAATTGGTATGGTTAGCCATACCTGCAGTAGGGGTCTTTAGGCGTCGTGGATACTTATTCAATGTTAAACAGTTCAAAAATGGTTTAATTAGTAGACTCAAGGCACTACAACCAATTCACTGAAATTAAATTATTAGAGCATCTACAGTGTCCCTTCAATTATGCTAACTACATTGATTGTTTTTACACCGTGCATGCACAGACAGACCACTTGTTCACCTGACCTTAGTGTGCGATGTCGAACTTTTCATTGTTCCTGACATGTTGGTCTCCACAGACCGGCTTGCAGTATAACTGGCAAAAAAATTGTATAGATGGTCTATTATAACAAAACTGTACCTCATCAGAGAAAATAAATTTATAGTACATACAACATTCTTGATTTAAAGTAACATGCTCGTGATAACCTACTCACATGTTTTTTCCCAGTGTAAGAACTCTGTCTCCAAACAGTTCAAATGATCCTTCTTGGAGAGGACGGACATAACTGCCACCATGTTGGAACTCCACTCTTTTAGTCTCTTCTCCTTTGAAATTGTAGATCCTGGCAAGTGTAATTAAATATTTAGTAAAAAGTACGTGATGTTTTAAAACATTTTGTAGTATTTTAAAAACAATTATTTGAAGTAGCACGGTCACGATCTGGTGTTTTATATTTTGTAAAAAAAAAAAAAAAAAACAATTGTGACATCATAGTGTGGAGGTGCAGTAGACGTAACTTATAGATAACAGATTCTGTCCACCCACGGATGCCACCATCCTCAATCTTCAGCTCCAGGCGCTTCATCATCTAAAAACCCAGGTCAGTACCGTACTCACACAAAAGGCTGAGAGTACAACACTTATTCCAATCCTGAGAGACCACTGAAGCCTTTATAGATGTGTCTGCCAATGAGAAAAACAATGCCTTATTTCCACACCAGCTGTTTTAACAGGTGGGGCAAGTGGCAAAACTCGATGGCGTCCGCTTTGCCTTTTGTCAAGTTCTGTCAAAGTACAGGTTTACCATAACTCAAAGTAGTCTCTACTGAAATGTTCAATGATCAACAATTTTGTCTTTGATGTACAGTGCTGCATTAGTGCACTTAAAGTAAACAGATATTTTTGCCTAATACTGTGTACTAAATGTAATGACTTGATAGCAACTGTTTAGCCATGGTACTCAAAGCAATGTAAAGATTTCCCATTAAAATTGTATATTACATTTAATACTAATCCTTTTTGTAAACAGTGCATTTCTCCACTTGTAAGAGCATCAAAGAACTTTACACAAGGATCTAGTAGTCATTACATCAATCTTAAAAGAAGAAGAGGATGAGTGGATCTACAAGGATTCAAAGTTACACACAGATGGCTATATCTGGCTGCACAGAACCCCAACAAGATATACCAGCAAGTTTTGTGTAATTGGTGGAATAAGAACTACTAAAGAAAAGTTTGTTTTAACTTCTTGTTAAATCCTTTTAGCAGGCCAAAATGCAGTATTGGACATTCTAGAACAGAACTTTGGCTCAATAATCTTTTCCTGTGTATGACACCATTCTGTAACTCTGAAAACCACTTAATATTTAGCAAAACCAACTGCATGGCATTACAAGGAAAAACAGAAACATTCAGAAAGGATGCCAAATGGCAACAGTAACACAACCAGAATGGGTATGGACAAAGGACAATAAAACAGGACAGAGAAACATAGCAGGGCTGACTAAAATTGCAATAAACTGACAACAGTTAAGGTGAAACAAATATAACGGTCACTCTTGAATAAGAAAATAATGAAGATTTGTTTCAAGCTTTAAGTAACTGCAGGAGGTGTACTCTTCAGGACCCGATAAACTGCTTGAGACAAGAAGGACAGACTGGAATTACTTCATTCACCCTTTGTGAATACAGTAGGTATACTCTGAGCTGTATTCCTACTCACACAGGGGTGGAAGGGGTTGGAGCAGAAGTAGAATACGTGGAGCACAAATCACAGCAGCTAATGAAACAGGTTTTCCCAATCGAGTCTTTTAAATACAGAGGAAACAGAATGGTGTGATAACCTTGAGAAAGGGGTTGAGCCAGAAATTTGCTCTTGAACTGTATGACCATCAGTGATGACTTAGTGGAGACATACCCTTCATCATGTACTGACTAGAGCTCCCCAAAATAAGAGATACAAACATTAAGGACTTAGCCTAGAGCAGCAGTTCCCAAACTGTGTGCCGATGAGCACACAGGGGCACCGCAAGATATTTTCCCGGTGCCTCCCTCTCTCCTGCCGTCTCTGCAGGACAACAGGGGAGATCAGAGATCTCCCTCTCCGGTCCCCTAGCAGTGTAATTCTAACAGCCGACAGTGGAGTAAGGGAGAGAGGTCCTGGGGAGCTCTAACCGGCAGCTCCGCCGGGTTCTCCTCTTGCGAGCTTGGAGCGTTGTCACGGTTACCACGGCAAAGCCTTGAATCTGTTAGAGTTCTCTCTCACCACTGGGACCACCAGGGATTGCCTTGTACTGTAACCCCCTCCCAGGCAAAAGTAAGCAGGGGGGGGGGGGAGGGAATATGAAAATTATAGTTTTCAAATTAAAAAAAACCCACTTAAATATTTATTAATCTCCCCCCCTACCTCCACAGACCCACAATAACTTCCTCCATGCACACACACTGCTCCTCCCATACACACACTGTACACCCTACGAACTAACTGCACCACACACACACTACATCCTTCACAAACACAATGCATCCCCTCAAACACGCTGCACCACACACACACACTGCACCCCTCACACACTACATCGTTCACAGACATAATGCACCCCTCACACAGTATTGCCCCTACCCCCTACTAGAGCCCCTATCCTGGCAGATCCCAGCTAAGTTGTCAAACTGTTCTTAAACAGTTTGACTACTTACCTTGGGAGGGCACCACAGCACTCCTGGCACCATAAACACTACAGAGTGCTGTAGTGGTTATTGGGCCTGGATTGTTTCTTTAAATATTCTACCAGTGCCTCTCCCATGATTAGGTTCTGGATCTGCACCTGAACGGCAAGCATTTCTGCCACACAGGGACACAATACATACTGCAGCGCTGTACATATATACAACCTAGAACATTTTTTGACTTGGGGCGCCTTGTAAAAATACTGAAATACTAAGGGCGCCTTGAACCTAAAACGTTTGGGAACCATTGGTCTAGAGGGAAGTTTGTTTGACAAAGAGAAAAGGTTTATAAGATTAACCTTATAAGACCAGGCACTTCAGTGCCCCAAGGGACAGGACCAGACGTGGGGAGCACAAAACGTCCATTGGAATTCTGGACCTTATCCTTCAAGAATATAGAAACCTGCAGAAGAAAGGCAAGTTTAAATATGAAAGACATATATACTCTAAAAGAGGGAGAAAGCATGCAGACTTGTTTTGCCTTCATAAATAATGCAATATTATAGAAGAGATAATGGAATTCTATTGCGTATAGCAAATTCAAATATTATTAAAAGGGACACTCCAAACTCCAATACATCTCTAATGCATTCGATAGGTTTTGGCATTATTAACATGCTGTATTTTTGCATGCTCAAATGTTTAAAAATTGCTTCACAAAAAAATATGTCTTGCTGAATACTGCATCACAAGTCTGCCTCTTTATCCACACTCCCCTCACTTCAGAAATTAAATTCCTAAGCTGTACACAGTTCAGCTATTGAGAATACTGAAGGACTACAAAGCAACCTGTATTAGAACGAGAACACCCAGTGAGATATATAGAAAGGATATCATAATCTGTTGTTCTATAGTTTCTCCGACTGACTGCAACCAGGTAGTAAATTAAAAGCAGGATCTGGACTACAAAGCAATCTGTATTAGAAAGGTATTATACACAGGGAGATATATAGAAGGGATAATCTGTTGGTCATTAGTTTTTCCTATTGACTGCAACCAGGTTGTGAATTAAAAGCAGCTCACTCAGAGATGTTAAGATCTGAGCTGTGTGCCTACACAGATAATGAAGTCTTATTGTGCGTCAGGTGCCTGCTCTGCGGGTGAACTTATGGTGCTGCCTCCGAGGAAGCTGCAGGGAACACACACAGCACCCAAGAGACTGATCCAAGCAGAATCCCAAAGGATGAGGTTAATGTAAGAATTGGGAGGCCAGGTAGACCTCAACTTGAAAAAAATAAAATAAAGATAATTTTTAAAAATAGTATCATGTTATGCTTTATTAAATAAAAATTAAGTGTGTATGGATGTAATTATAATGTGTTTATATGAATGTGTGTGTGTATATGAGTCTCAGTGTGTATTTGCATGTGTGTATGTTTTTAAGTCTATGAGTATATAAATTATTGTGTGCCTCTGCATATATGTGTCAATGTGTGTGTATACAAATGTATGTGTACACCTCTGGGCTGATGTATGGCTGCAGCATTCTGAAAAACATTTTCTTTTGAGAAAAACTATAAAGATTTAATCTTAACACAGCCTACACATCTGGCGGGGTACAAGCGATCTAAAATGACATGTTGATATTCATTCTGTATTACACTTGATGACCACGATGTTGTTATCTTCATACATGTATTGTTTATGTTGCTATTCATGTACAATTATCACTGTACAATAATCCCTATGCAATTTTTAATGTAGACATGTGACAAGTCGCACTGTGTTTGGCTGTGCTCCCAAATAAAGAATAATAAAAAAAAAACTATAAAGAGTGGAGTATGGACAAAAATACAGCATAATAATGAGGCCAAATCCTATCAAATACATCAGCGCTGTATTGGTGCCAGGAGTGTCCATTTAATTTAACTTACAAATAAATGTTTATGTCTGCTGGCATAGATCATATGAATCCCCAGTGTAAACTGCCATGGATGATAGCCAATTTAACAATGTCCTAGTATGCATTAATCAACAAAATGCATAAATGTAATCATTAAAGAGTTATACATTTGACTATTTAATAATTTGCTTGATCTATGAATTATATTTATGCTCTGCAGATTGAAAAACAGGTTAAGGTGGCCCAAAAAATGAAACACTGATTAATGGCTGGAGTAGCACACAATAAAAAACAGATACATTTTTCACACATTAGCAAATGATAACTTACCCTAATGTGCATGTCTTGGAAGAAGATAAGCAAAGTTTGCCTGATTAACTGAAATTCTCCAGCTGGTATAGAATTATAGGTCTATAGGAGCAAACATAAAACCTCTAATTAAAGAGTCAGTTAATGTAAAAGTCATTTAGGAAGAATATCAATAGTACTGTGTCTTTAGTGAACATTGCAGCATCTTATGGTCATATTCAAGAAACTTGCTAATCCTTACCTAATCATTTACATATTTTAAGAAATAAAACAAAAATCTCAAGAGCTAACCCACAAAACATTCATCGCATGAGCTCAGAAACTTTAGCTCTACCAAACGGTCTTCTTTGTCTTTGCATGACTCACATCATTACCAATTCAAGATTTGCAACCCATCCAAGTCACATTCTACGACACTTTCCATCAACTTACTGGTAATTGTCCCGTTAAAAATAATTAAATAAATAAATCGTCTCACTAAGACATACCTCACCACCAAGTTAGAGAAACAAGGCTAACTTCCAACAGCTGCTCCACCCCCTCCCTCCTCGAAACGGGATAACCCCACTGTAATGTTAAATAATTTTGAATACTTTGTATGATGTGCTACATTGCCTACCACTGTCAAATACAGAGGGTGAAGCCCCTTATTCTAACATCAAGAAGACAGATTCAAGTGATATAAGGCTTAATACTTAATAAAAAGGAATACTGCTGAACTAATCATTATTGTAATACTGTACTGCCTAATGCCAGTCAGAAAAAAAATTAGTTACAATGACAAGACACTTTGCAATGAATACTGCTGAACTATGTGCAATTGTAATACCGTACTGCCTGTCCATAAGTGGAGAATTGAAAAAGAAAAAATACACCTCCTATGTTCCCTTATAAACCTGTAATACCTGTAATGGTCCATGGACCAAATTTACTGTCCTTGTAACAATTTTCTCCACATTACCTGATAAAATTAAATTTCTACTAATTTAATGCATGTTTAGCTATGTTTATAAGTAAACACAGGACAGTAGAAAAAACAAAAAACAAGAATGAAAAAAAAAGACAATTCTTTAAAAAAAGGATATACCGTACATAAAAAAACAAACAAAAAAAAAACAACAACATTGTAGGTTGGTTATCAGTGTTCATTAGTATTCTATGTACTTAGCAGAATCCTTTAATTTCCCTTACATCAATAAGTTGACGGAATGTCTCATCCACTTGGTTAAGGATACTTGGTGATTCTCGAATGAATTCCTTGATGGCATCCATGTGATTGAAAGTGACAAGTAGAATATCTTTAGGGCGAGGACACAACAGTACCTGGTATTTAAATGCCATGGTCATCAGGTCATAGAGCTAAATTTAAAAACAACATGGATTTCAAAAAGAAGGAAATAGTTATTTTGTTATGAAACCAACAATAATACATAACAGTACAAATACTTGTACTAAACAAAACAGAGATACATCACAAAATAATTCAGCAGTGATTTGTAATCTTCCCTGACAAGTACTCAAACATCTTTTTCCAACGTAAAAATCAGCTCTGTAAATTTAACATTTTAAAATACATTTCTCAAAACCAGTTCCAGATTACTCACCTTTGCACTAGAGTACTAATACAGGAAAAAAAATATATATTGAGGATAGTTGAATAGGACCTGAAACATGGATAAAAATAGCCTGTTAACCCAAAGTATTAGGAACCATGGACTTACAGGAATATTTTTTTTTAATGTAAGGCATTTCAAAGTCTCTCAGTTGTATTTAGGTTTCCATAACAAGTGTCATGCCTAGCAATTATAATTCATTGTCACATTATAGAAATATTGCTATTAAATGTGGTTTGTGTAGTGAATAAGTGAATTGGTCACCTAGTAGAGGCGGTATGGCTGATGTCAGCACAAGAAGGGTTAATCTGGTTGTGTATGGATGTGCTAGATTAAAAGATTTACAACATTACCGTATATACTCATTTTTTTGTGCTGAAAAACCCCCACTCGACTTATACTCGAGTCAATGTCTGTATTATGGCAACTTACATTGCCATAATACAGACCAGGACCGCCAGGCTCATTACAAGCCCGGCGGTCCTGTTGGGGGCTGGCAGAGAGCTGTAACTTAACTTTCCTGCAGCTCCCTTCTCTCTCCTCCAGTCTGGTCAGCTCCACTGCAAGTCTCGCGAGAGCCTCGGGGTCAGAGCTCCGCGTGGCACTCAGACAGCGAGACTTGCAGAGGGAGGACCGGACCGGAGGAGAGAGAAGGGAGCTGACAGGAGCTGCAGGAAAGGTAAGTTACAGCTCTCTGCCAGCCCCCTCCTGCACAGCCCATCCACTGGACCACCCTGGCCAGCTAACAAGCAGAGAGGGGGGACGAATAAAAATAAATAAAAATTTAAATAATAAAATATTAATATTTAAAAAATAATAAAATATTAATAACAAAAAAAATATTAAAATAATTAAAAAAAAATAATAATAAAAATGCCCACCAAGGCTCTGCATCACATACACAAACACACTCTGCATCACATACTGCATTCATAAACACACACACACTGCACTCATTATATACACACAATGTAAATAAATATTCAATTAATATAATTTTTGGGGGATATAATTTTATTTAGAAATTTACCAGTAGCTGCTGCATTTCCCACCCTAGTCTTATACTTGAGTCAATAAGTTTTCCCAGTTTTTTGGGGTAAAATTAGGGGTCTCGACTTATATTCGAGTCGACTTATAGTCGAGTATATACGGTAATTATTCCTTTGAAGCTGGGACTCTGACAAGTAAATAATCGTGCTCTCCTGGTATATATAAACATAAGGGCGACAACATACCGTATAAATGGAATACAAACAGTACTAGTCTAACTTAAAAGGACACTATAGTCACCAGAACAACTACAGCTTATTGAATTTGTTCTGGTGAGTAGAATCATTACCTTCAGGCTTTTTGCTGTAAACACTGGCTTTTCGGAGAAAATTGAGTGTTTACTTCACTGGCCACTCCTTAGATGGCTGTTAGAGATCCTTCCAGGGTCATGGCTGCCTAAAATGCATCCAAACATTCAGTGTCTCCTCCCTCTGCATGCAGACACTGAACTTTCCTCATAGAGATTCATTGATTGGCCAGGGCTGTGTTTGAATTGTGCTGGCTCTGCCCCTGATCTGCCTCTTTGTCAGTCTCAGCCAATCCTATGGGGAAGCATTGTGATTGGATCAGGCTACCACTTCTGCTGATGTCAGCAGGCAGTGGGCAGGTCTAAAAGAAACCGGGACAAAGAAGGCATCTTCAGGCTTGAATACAAGTAAGATTATACTATATGTAAGGAGGCATGAGGGGGGCAAGGGGGTTAGATTGTGGTTTTAACCCTATAGGATCAGCAATACATGTTTGTGTTCCTGACCCTATAGTGCTCTTTTAAGTCATTAGGATGAACTGTGTCAAGTCCATTATATTCCCTCATAGGCAGGTCTTGTAAAGTGTACATGAAGTTCCTAACATAACAATATTCATTAAGTGGGGTGGTGTGTGATGACGCGACTATGCACGTAGGGTAAAATCACATTGGGGGTGCAGGATGTTGCATGATTCAGGGAGTAGCCTGAGAGAAAGCAGATTGGCGTGGAGCGGTATGCATGTATTTGAAAGCAGACTGACTCTGTAGCTTCCCATCGTGTTCAGGGACTGAGAGACAGAGAGCTTCTTACTATGTGTTTGCTTAACCTTCTGCAAAAATATTATTATAACTTGGATGCTTGAGTGGAATGGGAGTTGGACTCGTATCTATACTCTAACTGCAAAAGCAATACAATTCTGGTTTAAGGAGGATTTCTTCAGTATGAAGGGAGCTGGATTGCTAGGTCAGCATAAGGAACATTGCTAACAGAAATATCAGAGGTTACTTCGATGACTATGATGATAAACTAACAATAGCATTTTGCCTTAATATATGCTTGCTTTATAACATGCAGCTCCTTACTAATTGTTTGCCTCATTATCTCGGAGGGAAAAATTCACAACAACATGGATGCCTGAACATAGTGAGAGTTGGATATGATTTAAATGAGCAGGAGATTTACTGCTCTATCAGCTCAAAAATCTAGGCTCACCAAAATACTAGAGATTATCCCACTTTAAAAAAAAACATTTGCTCGACTCAAGGGTGTTTATGCGTCTGAAGTTGATAGAAATATTACGTGGTGGGAAGGTCTTGCAGACTCTGATACTACTGAAGTTTTCCCTCTCTCTTTCAATCAATACTGTGGCCGTATCTTGCTCAAACTCAGATAAGTTAACACATTTAAAATCTGACCCTGTAGGGGGGGGATAGCCATATATAATTTGGCACTAAAGGCTGAATCTAAGGGGCAGATTTGGTACATTCTGATAGTTTCCATATATAAAAGGAGATCAACAGTCTCTAAGAAGAGAAGATGGGAGGAATAAGTACAGAAGGAAAAAAAGAAAAGAAAAAAGGGAAGGGAATTGGCAAGAGGTTTTTTTTCCCCCCTTCATCTAAATGGCAACCAAGAAAAAGAGCGACTCCAAACAAAGAGCTAAAAAGGAAGGAGATAAAAGAACTGATCCAAAAAGTGGACAAACGACCTTTCAGCTTCTTCTCCCCGCAAGAGAAAATTGAAAGAAGACTTAGCCAGCATGATCCGGACAAACATACGGATGAGGACCGTATCATCCAACAACGATTTGAGAAAGAAGTCCCAAATGTATGCATGGGAGATTTTCAACATGTAGAGAGGGATTATCTCAATGCATGCCTTGAAGCAGAGTTCGGGAAGTAAAAGGAATTAATCAATTTTATATCTGATGACTTAAAGGAAAAAAATAGCTAAAATGATAGATAAATTTTATGCCGTAGAAGAGAAATTGGAGCATTCACTACTTCAGTACAATCTACAGCAAGAAAAAAATACTAGCGCTCGAGCGAAGAATCGAGCATTTAGAAACAAAAATCACCGAAAATGAAGCGCGTAGGAATAATATCAGGATCAGGGGTATTCCTGAAAGTATAACACAATCTAGAAAAATACCTAGAAGAACTTTTTCAATTCCTGGGCCTCCAACTTGATAACAAAGCTTACTTCATTGAGAGAGTCCACAGGATTCCAAAGGCCAGTACCCTGCATGATCATATTCCGAGAGAAGTTACAGCGTGCCTACACTCATTTAAATTCAAAAATCGGAAATTACAAGAGCTGCAAGGTTGAAATCTTTGAGAGACTCAAAGTATGACTCAATTCAAATCTTTAACGACTTATCAGTAGTTACCAGGAATGCAAAGAGAGCTTTTTCGGCCCATACTTTAAAACTAAGAAACAACAATATAAAGTATAAATGGGCCTTTCCAACAAGACTCAGAATTATGTACAGAGATAACCCAGTGTTGATCAGGGACCCAAAGAACTTACAACAATGGCCCCCCTTCCCTATTTAAAAAAAAAATTAATAATTTACTGGGGGGAAGGAAGAGGAAACTGGTACGATAACCTTAGATTTAGTGACCCTCACCATCCAAAATGAATTACCAAAATGTCATATTTGATCTTGATTATGAGATTATGCCCTATTTTCAAGGCATGCATGGTGTGGCATTGTGTGTTTTCTTTCTCTCTTTTGCATTTGCACACTTGTTTTGCTTTAAGAATGGGACCAGTTGGAGTGTGTGAGTGCCGATGTTGGAAAGCTGGAGATAAGAGCAGGACAGTGGCCGCACGCCCAGCTCCTCTCATGAGTAGGCCGCAGGCCCCGAAGTTTTATTGCACCCCCAGAGGCTCCAAAAACTCCCGATCTCAGAGTGAGCATCCACATGAAGAGTCTGTCTTAAGTTCGCGGCTCAGGAAAAGCCAGTAAGCCGTTTAGTTCACTTTAAAAAGACATTCCCTGCAGGAGCCTCTCCTGCGTGAGACTGGTCAGCATGGCGGTCTGGCCCCGCCCTCCAAGTGGGATTTTTAAAAATCAGTATTTTGGGTCTACTGCAAACAAACCCTGTCACTGCCAGAACCAAGTCATGAGCACGCCTGGAGTAGTATGTGTTTGTGACACCAAAATTTCAAGGAGCAATTCCATGCAAGGTAAAACTAAATTCTACTCTACCAGAACACATGGAGGGTAATAACTGCAGGGTAAAAGAGTTAGAAAGATGACATTTATGTAGGGTAATTGGCATAATATGGCTGATATGTAATGATTAGAACCATTGTAAATATTTAGCACATCCACTGTAAGTATATGTCTAAATAATAAGGGAAGAACAGTTATCTCATATTTTCTTACATTACACAACTCACCTTGTCCATGCTTGCTTGATTCAGTCTCATGATAGAAGCATGGGCCAGACGGTCAAACACTGTTCTTAGGGCCTTCTTGGAGTATAGCTCCTGTGGCTTAAACAGTTCTTCCATGAACGCCTTGTTGAACATAGTGTTAATGATGTCAGTCATAACTGTAAAATGAAACAGTTTGAGTAGCCACTTCCTAATCTATATAATTTAAGCAGTAAGTATCTGTAAAACTCCTTCAGATAGGAGACATGACGAGCTCTTAGAAATGAATCATTCCAATATCATATCATTACAGAACACAATGACCTTTTAAAAACGTCATACCTTATATTATTAAGGAATGCATTTAATCAGGAGACAGAAAACCAGATATGGAATATCAGTCAGAACTGAAAGTCTACATCCAACATTCTCATTAAAGATAAAGTACTGCCATATACCCAATATTCCACCTATTAATATTCATGAATTTTACACCTTTCATACCTAGTTTGTAACAGCTTCTCTCACAAACAGAGAGGCATTCACATTTCACACCTCATATCTTTTAGTCTGCTTTCAGAGCTGGGATGCTAAATAAAACAAAGTTGATCGAGCATCCTACTCCAATAGAGCTATGCAGTTGTATAGTAAACTCCTGGAATGAATAGAATCTTGTATACTTGTAAAGGAGGAGTCTCACTGCATTACTATCAGTAAATCAATTCTAAATAAATTAACAAAGACCAAAGTAAAAATCATTAAAAAAAAAAAATACAGAACAAATTATATATTTGTGCATATTGAGATTAACCAAATGCTGTTGTGTATACATATAAATCACAAAGAAATCTATTTTCTATAACTGGCAGAATACAATGTGTGTATTCTATTGTCTAAGCTGCCTACATACTATATACACTGCTATATGCATATAACAGTTCAACACTAAGTGCAGATACCACCATACTGTACTCAGCTCTGCAAAGATATAAATACTGAGCATGTAGATTGGTCTGTGTTCATATAACAGAAGAATTATTCACATACATTATATGCCTATGAATTAACATTCTACAATGGCTTCTAGCAATGTTGTATGTGGACTTTAATATGGAGTTAACCAATAGGTAAAGTTATTAAAAGGCGCTTACCTTTTCCCCTGTATGTAAGACTCAAAAATTTAATATTTTAAAACAGTACGTTAGCGCACAAAGATGGGAAAACTCTCAAATTAAAGAGCAAAATATTAATAGGGCTTATTTGAAAAATATCACTCTGCAGAAAGTTCATTCAATAGTGCTTGTTGCACTTTAAGAATATTCGCTGGTGTTTAAAGAATATTTTAGATGCTTTCCTATGGGGAGGTCTGCGTGCAGCAATTGCCGCGCATGTGCATTAGGTCTCTGCCACCGGATTTAGGTAAGTCACTGAAGGGGTTTTAACCCCTTCAGCAACATGGGATGGGGGCTGGGAGGGAGGGGTACTGCAGGATTCCGCAGTGCCAGGAAAACGGGTTTTCCTGACACTGGAGAGTCCCTTTAAGAATTTTCGGTGGTATCAAAAGATTATTTTATTTTCAAAGAGGTGTATCCCTTTAAATTATGATTCAAACTGCTGCTTTATATGTTTTAAAAGTTATTTATGCAATGTTTACATATAGGGGTCATTCTATTTTATTTCATATATTATAATAACCATATTTGTATGAGAGTATTTATTTAATTCATGTTGAAGAGGTGTATCCTTTTAACAACTTATTAAAAACTGTTACGGATAAAAAGTAATCAAATACATTGTGGACTATCTGCAGCTCTAATGCTGCCAATTGCTTACTATTTTGGGAGTATTTAACAGAGATAGGCCCTCGGCACCAACAGACTTTGAGAAAGCCCACCCAGGGCGAAACGCGTAAGTCACGTGGTGCCGACATTACGTATCTGGCGTTCAAGGGAGAGGAAGATCGAGTAGCATCGGTGGAAGGTGGATCTGCCAGCGATCAAAATAACTACTCCATGAACTGTGAGCCAGTCATACAGATTTTATTGGCTATTTATTTGTACTTTTATCTATTTTTTGGGAACTAATAAAGTGTGGCATACTACTGGAGATTCTCCCTGTTTATATACAGACCGACTAGATACAGACCGAGTGCAAGTGCACTACACAGGGTGTATACGGTGGAGGTTCCTTAAAAAGTGTTATTACACCATTGTAAGTCCTTATTCCCCTAGATTGCTATTTGAATCTTATCCCCAGGAGTGCTGGAGGATTCAGAAGGGGCTATTGCATGTATGGTGTGGACTGTGCCACCTTTGGAGTCATTAGCAGAGTGCTTTATACACATCACAACATTACTTTTATTAACATTAACTTTCTGCAGAGTGACATTTTTCAAATAAGCCCTATTAATATTTTGCTCTTTAATTTGAGAGTTTTCACATTTGTGTGCGAACTCACTGTTTTACAAAAAGTGAAGTTATTGACACACAGTTATTCCAGTAAAAAAATAATAGCTCTTACAGATGACCAGGGCAAACCTAGTAGGGCAGATATTTAACTTTAGATCCCATTACAGTTGCTTTCATAGTATTAGCTTGTGCTCAATGACATTTTAGCATTGTGTGTCTAATTTATAAACCGTATGTATCACTCAATATGAAGAGTGACCAGCTTATTGCACTGATTGTGTAGCTGCTGGTGTTATGGACTTAGTATTTATAGTACATCTTCTTGAGGTTTAACATCTCTACCAATGGGTTCTTAGATTGTAGTGCTATATTAAAAAGTACTCCAAGCACCATGACATCTTCAAGGGGCACCAAAACAACTGTTGGTTAATAAAGCAGTTACGGTGTGCAGATCGTACCCCTGCAGTCTCACTGCTAAATTCTCTGCCATTTAGATGTTAAATAACTTATTTTAAGCAGCCCTGGTCACACCTCCATGCATGTGACTTACAGAGTCTTCCTATACACTTCCTGTAAAGAAACATTGAATGTTTAAACTTCCTTTATTGCACAGTCTATTTGATTTAGAATGTCTTATCTCCTGCTCTGTTAATAGCCTTCTAGACCCAGCAGGAGTCTGTAATGTTCAATTTACAGAGCAATACATAAAGATCTCTAAAGTAAGATAACATTTGATTGAAAATGTAACCATTTTTTCCACACATGCTGTGGCGAGTCACAGCCAGGCCAGGTGTGGCTAGGGCTGCATAAACATAAACAAAAGTGATTTAACTCCTAAGAAGTGGAAAATTGAGCACTGCAACTGCAGGTACGTGATTTATACACTCAAGCTGCTTACTTAAGCTAAAGTTGTTTTGAAGCCTATAGTGTCCATTTCAGTGATTTGAAGTGGTCATGGTGCATGCTGTCTGTATTTGCAGAGTTGCGGTATAAAGGGGAGTTTACATCTCCTGCAGCATCATTGGGGTGTCAGACAGCTTGGATCTCTAGATGGCTAATGTCAATTCTGTGTAATTTTAATGAATGGGGACAGCGTCTGGGGCTCTGCAGAAGCCAGAGGTGCAACACAGGACCACCAGAGGTTTGAGGCGCCAGTGAAGAAGCAACCCATACATTCGAACCTTAGTGAGCTGAAATTGTTATTGGGATAGAGAATATTCCTTAAAATTCAATCTACTGCGGTTCACTATGCAGTATTTTTTTATCAACCTGCTAAGCATTATAAGGGATATAATAAACTCATGCTTGACAGGACGGATAAAGGGTTAACACAGTGCAGTACTTTTAATTCAAGCAGAAAGGGAAAGCTAGTGGTACGCAGAAAACAAAAACACTGGATTAGGCAGTTGCTAAGGGCATCTGAACAATGTTTGAACACTGCCTCATAGTTTAGATGGCCCTGAGAGCAAGGGGGGGGTGGGGGGGGGGAATATGTGACCAGTATTATTTAGATTAGAATAATCTAAAAGAAATAGCACTAAAAATAACAGTGGAAAAGCAAATTTAATATAAATGTGCACGTGCAGAGTACGTTGGTCGAAAGCCTTTCACATGTGACAGAATCCCACGCGCATTTGACCTGTACAGCACTAAGCCAATAGTGCTGGAAGCATGAAGCAGAAGCAAAAGGAAGCAGGGAATCCTAGAGGCGCTATCTTATATATAAGCACACTGTACCTCGTTTTCTGTCTTGATTTGTCCAATCCTCTACGTGAAGCAGATAATGAACAGATTGGTTTAAGAACACAATGTATTTATTTTATCTACACAGTCATGGTCTTTCCTGATTCTCTGCTTTCTCTCACAGGCAATGGTTTCTAACCTGCCGGGTACAGCTTCCCACCCCCACTACCTCAGCAAAGAGCAAGGAAGCTCCTGTATATCTCTCAACCAAATGAGCTAAGCACTACACTGTCAAGCTTAACTCACACAGAGATGTTACGCCTCTCTAGTTTATGTAGTGGAGGTAGTGAGCAGGGTACTCCATATACCAGTTAAGAATTCAAACCATTCTATAAAACAATTTTATAATGGGAAGGGGCATTCCTGGCACCATAATCACTACATATATGCAGTGGTTATGGTGCTTGAATGTACCTTTAAACATTCAAGTCAAAGGTTACTATCCAGGTGTAGCTGTTACTCACGACTAACATTTGTTAAGTGTTTTGTTTTTTTATTCACTGAATATGTATAGCATGTAAACTAATGGATACATTTACGGTGTGTATGACAAAGCAAATGTGTATGTATGAGTTAATGCAGAGAGAATACTTGTGTTAAATGGAACCTATACTCTAGAAAATAAAACATTATTTTGGGACTAAAGGTTCCCTTCTGTCGACCCATCTTTAAGCCTGCAGTTAAAAATTAAAGTTAAATAAATATTACTCACTGTGTTTCCTTGCTCTAGTGCCTGTCAGAAAGACTAGATATGGATTTAACCACAATTAAAACTAAAGGACCACTGTATCCATTGAGATGAAGAGGTTTAGGTGACTATACTGTCCCTTTAAGTCTGTGTCCCTTAATCACAAAATGTGCTTTATACTAGAAAATCTCAATTTATCCTTCCTGGTAAAACATTAATATATAATAAGGAATTTACTAAATAATGCAGGGATGCATGTATGAATAGAGGGGGAGAACATTTAAATGGAGTGTCTGTCCGCCTGTGTCGATGCCAAACAATGTATTTTCGAAGGAGTGCCTTTGTATCAAATGCAGACACTGTGTTTATATGAAAAGCATGTGTATGGCTATGTGTGTATACAAGGATGAAAAAGCGTCTTTGGCAATAACAGTGTGAGATTCCACAAAACAAACAAAAAAAACTCCTGCATTCCCACACACAAATACACCAATCAATTAACACACACGGACATGTCACATACACACCCAACATCTGAGGAGTTGCCACTGGAAGTGTCCCTGGGGGTAATGTAAACAAAAAAAAGTAACAACTATAGTCTAATATGCCTAGGCACATAAGACCAAAGTAGGTCCTTTAGTATAAACATGGTATATACATTTACTGAGGGCCTATTATTATTTATATAGCGCCATCAGATTCCGTAGCGCTGTACAATGGCTACTTTGGTCTTATGTGCCTAGGAATATTAGATTATAGTTATTATTTTGTGCATATTTTGCTGGGTTACCCCATATTGATAGGTCTCTGTAGCACACCATCTATCCCCATTGGGATAGTATTTTCATCCACTTTTCTATGAAAAGGCAGTGTTTACATGAAAAAGCCTGCTGGAAATGATTCTACTCACCAGAACAAATACAATAAGCTGTGGTTGTTCTGGTGACTATAGTGTCCCTTTAAGTCTAACCTGTTACAAAATAGTCCAACAAAAACTCATTTCAATTATTTATTAATAGATAAACAGACCATAGTACTTATAAAACCTCATAAGATTCATGCTGCTTTTTTGGGGGGGTGGGGGTGGCAGTGGAGGTTTAGGTACTATTTCTATTGGGGTTGGTGGGTGAAAGTTGCTTGAACAAATATTTTAAAAATGTCTGTCTCCAATAGTCTGCTCAATTTATCCCCTTAAAGGACCACTATAGTGCCAGGAAAACACTCGTGCCCCCACCCTCAGGGACCCCCTCCCGCCCTGCTCTGGAAGGGGGAAAGGGGTTAAAAACTTACCTTTTTCCAGCGCTGGGCGGGGAGCTCTCCTCCTCCGATCCTCCTCTTCTCCTCCCCGTCGGCTGAATGCGCACACGCGGCAAGAGCTGTGCGCGCATTGAGCCGGTCACATAGGAAAGCATTCATAATGCTTTCCTATGGACGCTGGCGTGCTCTCACTGTGAAAATCACAGTGAGAAGCACGCAAGCGCCTCTAGTGGCTGTCAATGAGACAGCCACTAGAGGAAATAGGGGAAGGCTTAACCCATTCATAAACATAGCAGTTACTCTGAAACTGCTATGTTTAAGAAAAAATGGGTTAACCCTAGAAGGACCAGGCACTCAGACCACTTCATTAAGCTGAAGTGGTCTGGGTGCCTAGAGTGGTCCTTTAACCCCTTAAAGACCAAGCTTTTGGATTAAAAGGGAATCTTGACATGTCACACGTCATGTGTCCTTAAGGGGTTAAGGACTGAGGAAGTTGTACAAGTTGTGATCAAAACAAAACCTTGAATTTGCACTGTCTGTTCAGGAGTAATTCACCTCTTTATATTATGTGCACCCACACATAAACATTTTGTTATTTTTTTTAGTATGTCACAATACTGTTAGCGGTTACTGTAATAAACTTCACATATTTGTATTCAGCGATGTCTTATGAGTAAAACAGTATCCTCATTGTACAGGTTTTATGGTGTTTTGGAAAGTAAATTTTTCTGTTTATACACATATATAAATAATTTTTTTTTTTTTTTTAAACCTTATATACTGATTTTAATTTGTTCTAACTGTATTTTGATATTAAAGGACCACTGCTATGTTTATAATATGGTTAATCCAGCCTCTAGTGGCTGTCTTCTCACAGTGAGAAGACGCCAGCGTCCATAGGAAAGCATTGTAAATGCTTTCCTATGAACTGGCTGAATGTGCGCGGCTCTTGCCGCGCTTGCGCATTCAGCCGATGACGTCACTATGGAGGAGAGCTCCCCGCCCGACGCTGGAGAAAGAGGTAAGTTTAACCCTTCCTCTGCCCAGAGCCCAGCGGGAGGGGGTCCCTGAGGGTGGGGGCACCCTCAGGGCACTATAGTGGTCCTTTAATATACATATATATTAAATTCAAAATACATTTAGAATGACGTGTGTGTGTGTGTGTGTGTGTGTGTGTGTGTGTGTGTGTGTGTGTGTGTGTGTGTGTATGTGTATGTATATATATATATATATATATATATATATATATCTCAATTATAAAATGGGCTACTAAAAAAGACTGGACATACCCCATTTGTTATACCATGTGGGGGTGGGGTGGTGTGGGGTGTGTGTTTTTATAGATGGATGTATGCAAGGGGCCGGATGGGGCAGAGGTGGTCTGCCTGAGCTCTAAAGGCAGACATCGGGACCGCCGGCGTGGGATCGGCGGGGACCCAGTTAGTATGAAGGACGAAGGACGGCAGGGACGTTTTATGTCGCCCGCTGGCATTTAGGACTGCCTCAAAAAGGATGGCATAGAATGCCCACTGTCCTTAAGGGGATATACATATTGTGAAAAGGACTGAATGTTCAAAATACATTGTCATTAAATAGTTTACCCCTTATCTGCTATTGACAAAACAATTTACCACTTAACTCAACAAGAACATTACATTAGTAAATCATGATGCCATCCATTTTCTCCTGGGATAGCAGATGAAATCCCTTAGTTACTTATCTGATTTTGTTTTTAGATACAGCAACAGCCAAGTAGTTAATCCAGTATCATCTACACCTTACCTTAGTTTCTCCAATTCTTACGAGCCTGTTTAACCCATTAACAACGCATGACGGAATTCATCCGTGATAAATGTCCTTCCCTTAAGGACCCATGACAGAATAATTCTATCATGTTATTTTACCAGCAGGGACTGTTTTCTCTCTTTAGATACCATTCCTCTATCAGCTAGGGCCAGAATTAGTGAAAGGGCATTGTGAATATGTATAAGGCAAAATTAATGTGACAAAACTATTTTTATAAAATGCAGTGTTAAAACTAAACAATGAAAGTGATAGTGCTTTTATGTATATACTCACAATGCATATCATATATCTGTTCTATACCAAATTAAAATTACAATTAAAGTGACATTACTATCCAAAACCTCCTCAAATTTATACTTTCCTGTGGTCACCTCCAAAGAGGCACCTGAAGCGGGGGTAATCTAAAGTAGGTTCACGCTTGTGTTATACATAAATGTATAACACTGGACTTTAATTTCGAACTTTGATTGCAATGTGTAAATAGGTCGACAGCCACCAAGAGGCAGATTTAATACTGAAATGTAAGCACTGCAATATATACTCAACAGCAATGCGTTACATAGCAGGGTTAAAACTATCGGTCCATTGCACCACTGCATTAGGAGGTAATTTAACTGAAGCACTCTTATTAAAATGCTTATTAACATAATATAGTAAAGCGCTGGGGAATTAGTTGGCGCTATATAAATACCAATAATAATAATAATAATAATAATAATAATAATAATAACAGTTCCAAAATAGCTCTTTTTTAAACTGCCTCAAAAATGCCAACCCACACTTACTAAATGCATCACCTTAAATCGTGACCCATTTAAAACGTATTTCTTTGTCTAGCTTCTCATAGAAGTTTATTTCTCTACAAAATTTATATTATTTGTTTGAAATATATCTACCATATCAAGTGCAACATTTTCAAAAAACTGTCAGTGTTACTGTACTCAAAGGGGAATTTCAAGAAGAAAGGAAAGTCCAGCAGGAACAGGTAAGTTGTTAAACCGTGTTAGAAAGGTGGGATGGCGCCAGGTGTGTCCTGCCACTATAACCACTAAAAATGGTGGGAGTATTCCTTTATGACTAAAGGTTTTTTTTCAGTTTGTTTGTTTAGGTCTAAAATTTTACATTCCTTAGTAAATTTTAATTTTAGTGAATAACACTGAAAATTAAATGTGTGAATTCTTGTGTATTTTCATTCATTAGACCAGACTCAGAAAAAGTATTCAGATTCATAACTGGATCAAATCTTGAAACCATGTCCCTGTTTAAGGTTTTTTCTTCAAATATTTTAGTTAAGCTACACGTCATAACTACTGGTTAAATTTAAAGGAGCACACTAAGCATACCAAAACGACAGCCTGCAGTAGTGGTCACACTCAGATCTGACACACCACAGGTTACATTATGTACATTGTTACATTTCTCAGGAAACTCGGGGAACTCTCAGGGAGAATGTTATACACGGATTATTCACTAAAATGTGAATGGTCAAGAATTCAAAGTAAATTCATAAAAGGGGCCATTCACAATAATTAAAATCTGAGCGATCTGAAATCCGTATGGCAAAATTTAGGCAAATACAGCGGGTATGGAAAAAAATCTCCAAGCTCAGCTGCAGTTTAATAATTTTCACAGTTTGATAATTTTCTGCCTAATATTTGCAATTCACAAAATTCCCTTACAATTTGGGATTGGCTAATTCTCAATGTGAATTTTAAGCCAAATCTGGATAGAATATAGATTTGTTTTCTAATGTTTCGCATTTGCCTTAACAATTATGAAATTAACTTTGAATTCCCAACAATCCCTGTACACAGTGTGCATTCTCTGTTAGACAGCCATCGTGTTGGTCTCTCCTGTCGGTCCATTATCTTCACGGGGTATAGGGGGAGGAGGGAGGGTGCGCTCACCTTTCCTGGCTTTCTCCGGGGGGATGTTCTGGGCTGTCAGCCTCTGGTCCAAAATATAGAGCATCTCTCCCCCCAGGTTAACAAAGAGCAGGGGCAGAGTGCGCAGTGACATGACTGCTGGACAGCGATACGGACTAAGCAGCAGATGAAGCCCTGCGAGGACTGGTATCAGTGTTAGAGGGGGGGCGGTGGGTAGGGGCTCTGGTGGTGGAGGGGCAGGCAGCTACCCAGTTGGGGAGCATTGGATATTTCGGGTGTTGTTATAATAGGTATTACGGGTCACGCAGACAGAGTGAGGCGCTGTATGCTGATCCCCAGCCAATCACAGCTCCCCTGGTTCACGGGCAGCAGACGCGCTCTGTTGCTAGGCGACCCAAGATTCTAACCAATCAGACAGCGCTTTACTTCCGGAGGTAACCTGGCGGAGACCTAAACACTAGAGACCAATCAGAACCACTGTTCGGTTCAATCCCCACCGGTGGCTCCTTCTACTGTATCATGTTGCTTAGCGACTAGTGTTGGAGGCTGGAGGCTCCCTGTTTGTGGTGTTTTTAGAGAACACCCAGAATTGTACTCCGTGTCCTAAGCTGTATGTTAACAAATAAAAAAGGGCAGCACATGTGTATTGCTGATCCTGTACCTAGAGCAGGACTGTGATTCCTCATTACCAGGACTGGGTGTCTATTAACCCTTTAACCCCCTAAAGGGACACTATAGCTCAATGAAGTGGTCTGGGTGCCAGGTCCCTCAGGTTTTAAAGGGACACTATAGTCACCTGAACAACTTTAGCTTAATGAAGCAGTTTTGGTGTATAGAACATGCCCCTGCAGCCTCACTGCTCAATCCTCTGCCATTTAGGAGTTAAATCCCTTTGTTTATGAACTCTAGTCACACCTCCCTGCATGTGACTTGCACAGCCTTCCATAAACACTTCCTGTAAAGAGAGCCCTATTTAGGCTTTCTTTATTGCAAGTTCTGTTTAATTAAGATTTTCTTATCCCCTGCTATGTTAATAGCTTGCTAGACCCTGCAAGAGCCTCCTGTATGTGATTAAAGTTCAATTTAGAGATTGAGATACAATTATTTAAGGTAAATTACATCTGTTTGAAAGTGAAACCAGTTTTTGTTTTTTTTCATGCAGGCTCTGTCAGTCATAACCAGGGGAGGTGTGGCTAGGGCTGCATAAACAGATACAAAGTGATTTAACTCCTAAATGACAGTGAATTGAGCTGTGAAATTGCAGGGGAATGATCTATACACTAAAACTGATTTATTTAGCTAAAGTAAATTAGGTGACTATAGTGTTCTTTTAACCCTTCAGATGCAAACATAGCAGTTTCAGAGAAATTGCTATGTTTACATTTGGGGTTAATCCAGCCTCTAGTGGCTGTCTTCCGGACCTGCCTGCCAACCCTGGCCGAAAGTCCAAAGAATTTAATTTGCTAGCACTGCAACTTTCCAAAACACCATAAATAGGGGGTACTGTTTTACACGTGAGACATCGCTGAATACAAATATGTGTTTGTTACTGCAGTAAAAGCAAACAGTATTTTGACATTCACAGTTAAAATGTCACATAGAACTAAGAAAATTAAACAAATATATATTTTCTCCCTTTTTATATATTTTTTTCATATTAAATTATGTTCCATACCTAAATATTTGATGTTAAATGAAAGCCCTGTTTCCCCTGAATAAAATGATAAATAATAAATGTGGGTGCAAGAGGTGAATTATGGTTGGACAGACATATAGTGCAAATACCAGGTTTTGTTTACATTTTGTTTTGATCACAACTTGTACATTTGGCTGCGGTCTTAAGGGGTTAACCCCTTCAGGACGGAGTCAATAGTACACGTTCTGATCAAAACAAAATGTAAACAAAAACGGGAATTTGCGCTATATATCTGTTCAACCGTAATTCACCTCTTTCATATTAAGTGCACCCACATTTATTATATATCAGTTTGTTCAGGAGAAACAGGGCTTTAACTTCTCATGAACTATTCACATATGAAACATAACTTATTATGAATAAAATAAAAAAAACTATGAGAAATTAAGATTTTAAAAATAAATTGTAGTTCTGCCTGACATTTTAGCTGCAAATATCATGATACTGCAATAAAATGCACATATTTGTATTCAGCAAAGACTCACGATTAAAACAGTACCCCCATTAACAGATTGTACAGTGTTTTGGAAAGTTACAGGGTCAAATATAGCACATCCCATTTTTCATTTTTTTTCACATTAAAATTTGCCAGATTAGTAATGTTACCTTTGAGACCGTGTGGTAATCCAGGAATGAGAATTATCCCCATGATGGCATACCATTTTCAAAAGTACACGTCCCAAGGTATTGCAAGTGGGGTATGTCCACAATTCAATGCTCAACTGTTTATTGAAGACTCAGGCAGTCGCCCTGAAGGCTGTCTCATAGACTGCTTTGCGGCCATGTGATTTGCCTCAGCAGGAAGCTATTAGCTAGAGAAGTGAGTTGCGCTGCAGTGGAAAAAAAATGTTTAGCACTAGTGAGGGCTCTCAAGAAACATACCCCTTACCTGTATGGATGAGCTTTCACCCTAATAACAGAGTTCGCCAACTAAAGACCAAGTCTGGGCATCCCCAAGTTGATCTGAAAAGGGTCAAGCCGTGTCTGCCGGAGCACCATGCAAGGGGAAGGTGGGAGCAGTGTGACAGGACGCCCAGTCACTGAACAATTGCTGGCAATTGTTTTTTTTTAATTTATGGTTAGGTAACCGAACAAAGTCCAGATTTTCCCCTTTTATGCCCCCCACAATCAGACCACCTCTTGGACTGTTAACCCTGTTGACCTCTCTGACACCTTACTAATCCGTCAACACCTTGTTAACTCAAGTGTTCTGCTGGGTGGCCGCCATTTTCACGAGTGAACTCGTGGGAAAAGAGTCGGCGGCCATCTTGTCGCACGAAAGCAGGCAGCGGTGTGCGGACATCAAGTGCATGAAACTAAAATTGGAGAGATTAACCCGCGAACACCGCTGAACTTAGATCATCGCCTGCTTCTTTTCCAAACGTCTCAGGAGAGAGCTCTTCGGGCAAAGTGTTCGCATAAACTTAAAGGGACTCTCCAGTCCAGGAAAACATATCCCTGCAGTGCCTCTCTCCCTCCCACCCCCCATCCCATGTTGCTGAATGGGTTAAAACCGCTCCAGTGACTTACCTGAATCCAGTGTTGATGTCCCTTGGCGCTGGGTAATGCTCCGCCGAAGCTCCTCCCTCACCGACATCAGCCGGCGGGGGAAACCAAATGCACATGCGCGGCAATGGCCGCGCGTGCATTAGACCTCCCCATAGGAGAGCATTATTCAATGCTTTCCTATGGGGATTCTGGCAACTCTGGAGGTCCTCATGCATAGACTCAGAGATACTGGAGCTACCCTGACACTGGTATAATGCCACTTGGTTTGGGATCAAGAACACACTGGACTATCCGTAGCTGTAAGGGTAGCCAGGGGAGCCATATACCGGTTAACTATGCCTGCGTTCACCTGGACTGGGGAGCTGGTTTTGGCACCGTGAATGTGGGAATTATGAAAGACTTACCAGCTGAGGTGCTACTTGGAAAAGATCTGGGACCTCTCATCTTGGCCTATGCTACATGTGACAAGCTCCCCTCTCCAAGTGAGTTTGCCACGAGCTCCTGGAGGAGCCTGCTTGCCAGCCTCCTGCCCACAAACTATGGGCCCTGCAGGGAAACCTGTAAAAGACTACCAAACATGACCGACCGTTAGCACTGATTTCATGGAACTGTTTTGGGCATAGGACCATGTGCACGGTCGGTCAAAATTATGACTTCCAGGAAATTTCTAAAACCCTGAACCTATCTGGATGATTTTTGGATATGTTGTTCACCCAGATCGGGGCTATCAGGGGATTTTATTGCAGGGTTTATTGTGGGGTTTTATGTGTTTTTAAGGTACTTTTGGGAGTTTTATAAAATTGTATGTTTTTCTGTGCTTGGAGATAATTGGGTTAGATTAGTACAGTTCCTGATTCAATTATCTCCCAAGCATAGAGGAGGGTTTCTATTGTTTGTGTATGGGAGTGTCTCACTGTATGACTCTGTTTTTATTGGTTATTCACTTTGTGTACCTGTGCCCAACAAGGTCTACCTGGCTGTCACCCTTGTTGGGAAACTTGCATAAAAATCCATTAAAAACCTATTCCAGCTTACACTCCAAAACTGTGTGTCTTCCTGTTATTGGAGGGAAAGAATAATTACTCCTGTGTCTGCTGTTCCAGCTTGCAGGGGATTTAACGGGGAAAGTCCTTTAAAGGACTAGAGCTAATTCCTCATTTGGCTCCAATAAGGAGCGGTTCCAGGGCCCCAGTCAAGCCATGGCAACTGTGGGCAGAAGTGCTGCGGTTTGTCCCCTGTTCCAGCTAGGAAGCGGTCCTTGACGGAGGTACCCAGCCAGGGGTACAGGGAGCTCCGTCACACTACACGAAACCAGGAAGAGGCCCATCCAGTAACCACCTGCCTACAAACCCGGACTGCGGAGGCTGGCCCATGTTCTGTCAGTAGAGATGGCTCAGTTGTTATGGGATACCCCAGAAGAGTTTGGGAGGGGAGTAAGAGAAGATCCTACCTTGCAAAAGTATAGGGCCCAGGCCTACACAGAGAATGGGAGGGTTAGAGAGGGAAAGGTTTATCTGGGGTCAGGACAGACTTTATTGTATCACAGAGAACCAGAACGCCCCATCCCAAAACCGCCAGCTTGTAGTTCTGAGGAAACACAGGCTGGAACTTCTACGGATTGGGCATGATGTACCCTTGGCAGGGCATTTGGGAATACGCTGTACCTATCATAGAGTAACCCAGAACTTCGTTTGGCTGGGAATCTCTCGAAATGTCCGGCAATACTGCCAAAGCTTGGCTTCAGGCTATGCTGATCATTGAGGAACTGTTCAACTGAATAGCAGTCGACATTGTAGGACTCCTTAGCAAGACCTAGTCCCTCCAGTAAGAAGTATATACTTACCGTAGTCGACTACACCACACGCTATCCTGAAGCAGTCGTCTTGGCCAATATACAGGCGGAGACCGTAGCAGATGGTCAGGTTATTCTCCCGAGTGGGCTTTCCCAGGGAGATCATCTCGGATCAGGGCACCCAATTCACAGCGGATGTTACTCATCAGCTGTGGACGGTATGTGGGATAAAACCCATTTTGAGTTTTCCCTACCATCCCCAGTCCAACGGTCTCTGCGAGCAGTTCATGGTACACTTAAGCAGATGTTGCGAACGTTCGCCACCGCTTGCCGAGATTGGGAGAGATTCCTGCCGCACCTCTTGTTTGCTTATCGGGAGGTGCCGTAGGAATCCATGGGTTTCTCTCCATTCTAACTACTATATGGGAGAAGCATACGAGGTCCATTAGATCTAATTAGGGAGT